AATTTTCTAAAGCATTTTTGGGATGAACAAGAGTGTAATAATTACTGAGACTACATTTGTTATATCTGTAAACCACGTGATATAGCTGAGTTGCACAGGTCATTAAATTGTTGAGTTGAAAACCATCCGATCTGTATGATGATGTCATGTGTTGGTTTTGAAGTATACAAATTTTCGGAGCCCCCCCTCCTAGCGCAACAATTTTTTCACAGCTCCCCCTTCGGGTGTCTAAAACTATCTTCATCCCCCCCCTTGTCATATTAAATGAACTTTCCCTAAGGGCCCAAGCGGGGAGCCAATAGCGACCCCATCAGTGTGTTCATATAGTTGGCTGTTGAACACCATCATTCTTTCTTAATTTAATTCGACTTAACCCCTCCAACGAAAGCCGTAATTGCTCCAGGTCCACTATCTTAGCTTTCAGTGTCAGAATCTTGTCGCCTATCCTGTGTTTTGTTCATGACAGAGGGAAGGTTACTCGGATTTTCAAACACGCCATGCTTTCACTTCAAGGAAGAAGGCAACATCTGGGAACTTTGATTTTACACCATAAATAACACAGGCATCCCATAGATGCTATTGAGATCATCCTAACAGCCCCACTTGATCTCTTCCTATGTATGTTCTAGAATTACATGAACATTATAATATTACTGAAATATAAACATACAGTGCCTTTCATCAGTTGGTAAACAAATAAAGATTTATCATTACATGTATATTGAACTTATACGTCTTAAAAGCCAAAAATATAACTCCTGAACTTTTGTAATTTAAACGCTGTAGCTGGTTTAGTCATGACAGCAACCATATTGGTGGTGCGACAATACTTAGTGATTATCTCAACATCTCCCGTCTTGAGTGCCGCATTGTTAGATCATGTCCCATCTGCTAGCTCAATGTATTGTTTTGTCTGGTGAGGTTGTCATCAAATTTATTGAATTTGGACTTGTCATTGATGATGTGGGTAGTTGCTCCACAATCCACTAGAAGAGCATTTGGCTTCCCAGTGGCCCTTTCACTAGCATGCTCCACTTCCTCATTAGGATCTCCCGAAGTCCCAGAAGCTTTCTTTACTTTGCCGGGCTTATTTTTCCCTTTGAGGAGTTATGGCACATGTTGCACCAGTTTCCCCGTCCGTTTTTTCTGTTGTCTTTACTATAACAGAAACAAGCGATATGCCCTGGTTGGCCAAATTGAAAACAGGGGACGTGCCATCGTGATTCTTGCTTGTGTTCAGTCTTCATGACTGGGTGATCTCCGGTCGGTATGCTTGGTTGCTCAATGTCTTTGAAGCTTCGCAAGGCGACTTTGAATTCCCTGAATGTCTGTTGTCTCTCTCTCTGAGTAGTGAGCTTTCGGTACCTTTCGGTACCATTGCTATGAGGAGGCTATTTGTCAAGGTTTCACTGGCATTTCTAAAACCTGTGGCTGCAGTTGTAGCTCGTATGACATAGTCAGTCACCGTCTTGTGTGCCAACTTCACTAGCGGAGTCAGTTCTGTGTACAATGAAATCACTCTTCGCTTGCCTGTACCAGCGTAGTGGGCTCTTAAGGATCTTTAATGCTTTACTGCCGTCATCCTGTGCATCTCTCATTTTGAGGGCAAGGCTTTTATCATCTAAAAATTGTATCAACTCCGTGAAAACTTCTTCATTCTTGGCAGCATCAATTTCTGTATCTTCAGCTGCAGTAATGGTTTCCTTCAACTTTTGTAATTGCATGTATCCAAGAAATTTTATTTCCCATTTTTTTATATTTTCGCTCATCTCCATTAAGAAGAAGTCTCCCGTACCTTGTCCTGGGCCCATAACCTGTTCCGTTAATGATGGAGGGAAGATTACTCAGACTGTCACATTGAATTGACAAAGATCAAACTGGCTACTTTTTCACTTCAAGGAAGAAGGCAACATCCCGGAACTTTTATTTTACATTATAAATTGCACAGGCATCCCATGCCTGTTAATGAGATCATCCTAACATCCTGACCTTCTGCTAGCCTGGCTTTCTGCCCTTTAGATTTCTTGGAAGTACAGTAATGGCAAATATGGCCTACTTCAGCACACTCAACACATGTTGGTGGGCCAGGTGGTTTATTTCTCATGGTAACTGCACTTAACACTGACTCCGCTTTGCTCAAACTATGGAACGTCACAGTTTGCTTCATTTTCACATGTCTGAGAGCTTGTTGAACAAAATCTATGGTGATGTCATCCACGAGACAACCAGTTGCAAAAGTACTTGAGACAATGTATGGTATTTTGGCCCAAAAGGCCTGTCCATGATCTTGTGCTTGTGGTCCCCCCTCCACCCCTTATCAAAGTTGGTAGCAGTACAAGACCATGCTCAAAACTTGGAGAACAACTTTGAATGGGAGGGAGATCAGTGTTATATCTCACAGACCTAGGTTGTTTTTTTCCTGGTAGTGTCTCAACAGTTTTGCTACTGGTTGTAGCTTCCAGGGCTGTTACTAATGATGCAAAATTTCTCAGTAAACTGCCCAAGAGAGTTACAACCTGGTCCTCTTTGGAGATAGGTGCACCAATTGCTGCAAGTCTATCAGTAAGATGTTTCATATGTTTTAAATGCTGTTCCATTCCATTGATCTGGGCCCATAACCTAATGAACTTTACAAGCTTGAAATCCAGAAATGTACTTCTAACACACAGGCTCTAATGAAAAGTGACTAAATTAAAGATCTAAACGCTAAAAGGCAATTGTCAACAAAATGTAATAAATAACAACAAAAGCTCCATAACGGTAGGTTTTAAGGTGATACTTAGGCTGAAGTAGGCGGGCTTTATCTGCAGACTGCAGGGTTCTCTGCTTGTGTGTTTCATTATCCTTTACTCATTGAAATTGACAGTTTTCCTTCATTATGAATGCATGATTTATTGTCTTTTTTAATTATTTTGTCTATTGCTGTTTAATGTTTTTTTAGATTTCTGGTGTGCTTTGCTGTAATTGTTTTGGCTTTGATTGGTTCTCGGTAAGTTGTGTCTTTTTTTGTTGTATCTCATTTGATGTAAGTCATGGTAATTGTCAGTTTGAATTCAATGTTAATTCATGATTTTAGAGTGAGTTTCAGGAAACAAGCAGTATCCTAGAAGTATACTTCGCCAACTGAAGAATGCTTAAAGCAGGCTTTCTTTAATTGCAGTGCACTTCTAGTATACTTGAAGTCTACTTTTAGTATTTATCTTCTTTTGGCAAGGGTTAAAAACAATAGATTGCTCTAACATGAATACAAAGCATGTTGGAGCATTCTTTAAGAAGCCTATGTGTTTGTCTCAGACAACACACTAAAAACAGTTAAGCATGCATCATAGAACAATGAAGCATGAGCAGGCAAACATGGAAAGCATGTTAACCACTGATAATGTACATACACACAAATTTTGTGCCAAAAAATAACTTACCTTTGGTCAGGCATGTCCTAAGGGTTCAATGCAGCATGTCCATTTACAACAGAAAGGCGTTGCTTCAGTCTGCCAATTAATGAGTACAACAAATGGAAAGGATATCGTTCCTGAAGAGTTGTTTACTACTTGTATGAACTTCACCAGCCAATAGTTAAGACTGCAATGGCCATGTCCAATATTTGTAACCCTTTAAAGTCTTTCTTGGTAAAAAGGCTGCTGGATTCCAAATTACTGGACTTCAGTAATGTTTCCATTCTTCAAACAACTTACACAACCGATTTAGTTTTATAACATTTTATTTTGGCACAGCATTATCTGCACTTTTATCTGATCTCCCTTACGAAATTACTCTTGAAATTCCAGCAAAAGAATGCCTAGGAATTTCCAATAATACCTAGAAATCCCTAGGAATTTTAGGTGTGAATTTTCACGGTAAATTTGGACTTGGAATTCCTAGAAATTCCGAGAAATTCCAAGTTCAAATGAGAGTAGACCTGGAACTCTTGGGAATTCCATCTACAACAACAACAACAACAACACTTTATTCACATTTCCATTACAGGGTTTGTCAAACTTATTGAATAATTAGTAA